TCTAAAAGAAATAAAATTTATGTACGTGTATATTTGTGTCAAAGTCAATAGTAAAATAATACATAATTCGTGTTATCAAAGATATATGACTAGCCGGATACGCGACACAGCTTGCTGTCAAAGGTACACAACTACTTTACTTTGAATAAAATGTATCGTTTATCTATTGAATGGTTCAATGACGGAGAGAGAGAGAGAAGCAACTTTCATAGAGTCTGAAGCTCCGAAAGCAAGTTAAATTTATATTTTACCTTGTATAAATAAATTATGCTAGCAATAGAAATTATTCAAATAAGCATCAAGATGTGTTGCGAAGAATCCATCATTATATTCTCAGAATAGTAAAGAAACGTTTTCACGGAGCGCAGTATCAAACGCTTTTCCTTATTTTCTAATAAACAATACTTTAACTTACCATGCTTATCGACTACTCGCCCATTTACTTGCTTCAAATAAGATAACACTAATAATAGTATTAGATCATAAAGTAGGCGCTTTGCTTGTGCTTCAAACATAATAGTAGAAGTGTAGTTATTCCATAAATGACTTTGCTGAATGAATAAAATAACATGAGTGTTTCTTAATTACTGCGATATATATATACTTCCATTGATTATCTTGCCAGACTGATGACAATATCTTCTCTTTGAAGAATATTGCAGCTGTTGACATCTGACATCGCATATTTATCTATTTTGTGACAGAAACAGAATGGGAATTTTCACAAGCCAAGGGCCAACGAACGGAAGATAACAGCATACACATGTGATGCTATTTCTGGTTCGAAGTTTATTCGACCAAAGTGGCGTAGAGGGAATTTGCATGTCGATGTTTCTTCTTCTTATGAGATAATCAGGCGACATATACTATAGAACAAATTCAAAATTCAGTTGAGACGAAAAGATATTTTGAACTATTCTAACACAGTACATGCGAAAAAGACAACAAATCTTATTTGAATCGCCAATTCTAAGCTGAAGAATCGATTTCTATGCTACAATTTCATCTGATTTTCAATCAAAATGGCACCAATTAAAATCGAATGTTTTCTAAAGATCTATGTTAACTGACTTTTTCATTATTATTACCTTATATGAATCAGGTATTTTATAGTTTGTTTTTCGTGGATAGGCAAGAACGGATGAGTTTCACTATCATTTGTTCTGATTAGTGTTGTCAACACAACAGCGTATTGACGAGACAGATTATCGTAAAAAGATCATTCTATAATACAGAATAACTGCGAGTAACTATCAGTGTTGAAACAAAATTATTCTTATCTCCAACATTTCTTTGTGGATGTTTGTTCGTAGAGCTGATTTACAGTTATGGTGTACATACCGACATTTTTCACGCTAAGATAAACACACAATAAGAACAGACGACGATATACTGCAAGTAAAGCTTCTATTCATTTGAAGTGGTATTGGTTCTTTTCTCAGTGAAAAGAAAAAGAAGCAAGAGCGTAATTGTGTTCTATAGATATTCAAGGTACATCCATTTCTACCTACACACTCACACCTCAAGTGTTGGCACAAACGCATTGACAGAAGAAATCATAATGAATTCATTTTCAATTTCAATTAAAGACAATATCTACGTAGTTCATTTATTATCTATGAACAACACAATACAAAGATACATTTTCAAAAACAAACATCTGACTGATTCAGGTCCTACATGTCTACTAATGAATCCACATTCGACGTATTTCAGTTCCAAGTAATATTTCAGGAAATGCACGCCAATTGATTGAGAACACATGTTGAGTCTATTGTTCTTCACTTGGGAAAAAATTATCGCTCTGTAAATTAAGCCGACGAATCGAGCCATGTGTATAAGACTATTCGGAATATGCTGTATTCCAGGCGCAGTTCATCCTGCGAAATTTAATAAATGGAGGTGAGGTGCTTGATTGATCACTATTTGTAATTGAGAGAGTGCGACATTCGCATCAAAATCGTCATCAGTTGATACAGTCAAAGAAGTCAATTGATCGAATCGAGGAAAAAGCGATTTGAAACAGAAAATGAAAGTCCAACGTGGCGAATATTGTTGAAATAAATCATTTGATAGTACATAAGCTGGCAATAAAGTAGTTACACGATTATAAGTAGAATAATCATCTTCACTCGTACATGTTGATATTGTACAAACCTTGAGACTTATTCGTAATGGACGAGAAGCACGAAAGAGAGGATATGGTAATGTATAAATGTAAATCAAAATCTTCTCTCTATCTAATGCCCAATGACATCAAATGAACCATTGATGATCGACAAGTCAAAATGGTGTTCGAAATGTGTCAATGAATTGCTTGAGTTTATCTTCTGTATCAAAAGAGAAAAGCATGAAGAAACGAAATGTAACTAGTTTTGGGAAATAATCAAAAATACATTTTTTTCATTGATGATCACTTATGTGCAGTTTACCAGTCTAAAGGATTATCCTAATCAGATTCGGAATGTTTCGAAGTAAATTAAGTGATTAACGATCAACTTCGGTGAAGATACGGACGGCAGAGTAAATGGAAACTGTGTCTCCTTATGTAATCGACCAATACAAACGTTTCGATGATGAATATTCGGAGTACATCGAAATAATCGTGTTAATTCACTCGTATCACAATCGCCTTCTTTGATGCATAAATATTCAATCCATTTTTATCGAATTGTTGGACAAACAAAATTTCGTCTGGATAACGAAAGCGTATCTAAATGACAACGAGTCAGTTTAGGCATGCGCCAGATATGATTGAGAACATCGCGTAAGATTCGCTTATCATATGTCATTTTGCAATTAATAACATTCAGATGAATGAGTTGAACAGTTTTACTCGGCGATAGACGATAGAGTGTTACGAATTTTGATTGAGTGAAAACCCACGAGGTGATAAAAGCTGAATCTGATTCGTTGTGTATCGTTATCATCAGAAAGACGAAATCTGACTAAATATGGATATATATATATAGTAAATAGCTTTGACAAATCAGGTCAAAATTGGTTTTCGAGATGGATTGTAAGTTAAGAGCATGAGTTCGAAAATGATTTAAAACGAGGCTGTTTAGTGGATGATTTATATGAAAAAATGACAGGAAAAGTTCCACACTTGGTACGTATTCAAATATGTTCAACAATATTTCGTTTACTAATTATTCGAAGTGCATCTTTTTCAATTTCGTTCAGTTTTGAGATGTATCATAACGAGTTAACGGTACGAGTTCGTCATTGTATTTAGCAATAACCAATAGGAAGTCGGCTAATATGGTGAATATACCGACCTGTTGAACTCTCGTAAAAAATTCGTTGCGATATGAGAAAATGTGACTTTTATTTTCGAAACATCGGCGAAGATAATTTTCCTTTAAAAAAGCGTACCCGTATTGAAATTACCAGTAAGAAGTTGAAATCTACCATATCAACGGGAAGTTATCCATTCAAAATCTACGTTTTTTTTTACTATTCTTTGTGTATGTGCACCAAGATTACTTTAAAGTTACGATAGTTTGAACGATTTTTGAAAGAACTGACTGCGTTCCTCAACGAGCGTATCAGAAATCTGCAAGTTTTCAAAGTATCCCAATGTCTTTCAGTGTTAGGACAGTTCCCTGTGTCTTGTAAATAAGAGATATATGAAAAAACGACGCTAACACACTATACTGATAATCCTCTTTTGCACATACGCTGACATTGAATTAATTTTTGATTTTATTATGCTTTATCATAGCACTGACTTCTGCTACTTGCTTATCAGGCGATGGAGTTAATAGAATTTGTGCACTTTCGTCAAGCATGAAGAGAGAACATGAACACGAGTTTTGAGAAATTTTTCACTTTGAAGAAGTTTTTCAAAAGACATCTCTTTTATTCGAATACTGTTCACTATGGCAAAAGTTCTGGCACCATTTTCAAATAACACCAGTACAGATGTGATATGTACATGAGGATAAGTTTTTGTTGTATGCANATAGTTTGAGTTTCGGTTCAAATACAACAAATTTCACTGCACTTGATCAGTTATTTGTTGACAATCCACAAATCAGTTATTGGAAATTCGAAGCCGTTTACTCATTCCCAACAACAATCAGCAGAAGTGCATTGAATTTTATAGTAAATGAACCACCTGTGAATGGTTCATGTTCAATAAGTCCACAGAATGGTACAACAAGTACTGTGTTTCACATATCGTGTTCAGATTGGTTTGATGACGATGGAATCAAAGATTATTCAGTTTACAGTAAATGCTTCCAAATGTCTCTCTAATTCGAAGCTTACGTGATTTGTTTTAGGCTGGCAAAGTGATCGTTCAAGTTTACTGATGATTGCATTTTCATCAGTATCAAATATTGATATGCGACTGCCACCTGGTGAAAATACGAACACATCATTAGTTCATTTGATTGTTCACATTCGAGATAAATTTGATTGTGTTACGGAATATAATTTGTCTTCAGTTGTTGTTCGAATTGATACAACAGATGTAAATAAACTCAGTGATCCGATTATTCGATCACTTGCAAGTGGAAATCAAAATGTTGTTGGACAAATTCTGATTTCGCTTTCACAAGTTTTCAACGAAATGAATAGAGAAAGTATTAAAAAAGCGGTTTCAGGTAATTCTCTGTTGCAAGCTAATGTAATAATGATTGCTTTCTTCTATTGACATAGACGGTGTTTCTGCGATGCACATTTCGATATCATCGTTAGAAAGTGAAAGTTTGCAACAAAACTCTACTTCATTCAATCAATCAGCCCTGGTCGACTTCAAAAACCAGCTGAATACTCGAGCGGATATCCGAGAATATCTGATTTCCTTTACAAAAGATTTACTTATTACGAGTTCCGATAGCATCAAACTACAGGGGTCTATGTTCGTACTATTGACCCGGGCAACAAATGAGCTAACACGATCATCTGCAGTAAGCATTTACACCACAGAAACTGTGTAAACAGCTTTTTTCTTCAATATAACTAGATGATTGCATCGAATAAATGCTATCACTTAGCTGAAACTTTATACTCTATGGCACGTCGTATTCCTTATGAAGATGTCCAATTTGCAGCAAGTCAAATAACTGAATGTGCTGCTAATGTAATGAATGTAAGGATACGCGTCTACCATACGTTGATTTGAATTGTAAAAAGAATATATTCAACTATCTAGGCGGTGAATGGTCCATTGCAGCAACGAACACTTGTTCTTGATTCTGATTTCTCTCAAGCAAATAGTTTTCCTTCTGATTATGATACTGATCTGGAATCCGCATGGTCTAATCCAAGTAAATGACATTTTTCCTAGTGAACATTGATCGTTGAGTCTGTTCTTGATAGACATGTTTGCTGATGGGAATGATTTTTCATCGGAAACAATTGACAAAAATCGGAATATTTATTATCAAAAGCAAACAGCCACTGAGATTGCAGAACAAGTTCGTGAAACAATTTCATTGATAAGTTATGCATTGAATCTTCATATGAACATTGGACAAAATCTGACAATCACTTCTCCATCAGTATTTATGCAGTTAGAAACACTATCATCAAATTCACTTTCAAATAAGCTCATTTCACAAATTGAAAATGTCCAAATTCAAATGCCACTCACTTTCAATTCAACTCTAAACGATAATCAAATCATTTCACTTCGAGTTTGTTTCCTTCTCTTAGAAATACTTATTCCGAACTTCGATTTTCTAGTCTTTCGTTCAACCCCTGGCATCAGCTGATCAATCAAACAGTCAATCATATACAAATTTATCACGATCGGTATCGTTAACATTTGTGAACCAGACTGGACATGAAATTTCGATTGAGACAACATTTGACGATCCCATCGAATTGATTATTCCACGAGATCCAAACCTTATCATTCTCCCAATGAATTTGCAAGATGTTCGCTCAGCGAATTCTATGCCACATAACCAATTATTTCATTTACAGTATCTCAACATTACGAGTTCTCTTGCAATTTCATTACATTTTGAAGTTCATCCTTTAAATCACACTGCTGGATATTTGTTCGTTTATAAATTCGATCAGATTCCTCAATTAAATAGTTCAATCAATAACACTGACGGCTGGTCTTTGTTTTGTCCAGCAAACATGACGAATGATAGTATCTATAAATATTGGATTGACAGTCAAAAAACAGTTGGGCATCGATCGATCATTTTTGGTTTGAGACAATTGAACTCAACTGAAATTACTAGTATCTGTACGAATTCTTCGATAACAAATCCACCGATTACAAATCAACGATTCGAATTTACATCAAACTATGAATTGAGAGTTTACACATCAGGTTGTTATTATTTGAATGCGAGTAATCATTGGCAATCTGATGGATTAGTAGTCGGACCTTTGACAAATCATTATCAAACGCAATGTTTATCCAATCATTTGACAACATTTGCAAATGGTTTCATCGTTTTACCATCACCAATCAACTGGAATTACGTGTTTACACATGCTGATTTTCTGCGAAATATAACGATTTATTTGACTGTGATTTGTGCGTGTATAACATACATCACACTGATCATTTATGCACGTTTTCAAGATAAGAAAGATGTGGAAAAATTGTGTATGAGACCACTGGTTGATAATCATCGGTCGGATGAATATTTGTATCAAATTGTTGTTTTTACTGGTCATCGTGCAAATGCTGGAACGGAATCGAAAGTTCATTTTATTATCTCAGGTGATAATGATGACACACCTGTCCGAACATTTTCGAATCAAAATCGAAGGGTTTTTCAACGTGGTGGAATCGATGCATTTCTCATGGCTGTTCCAAAGTAAGTCGTGTTTAACACATCGTTGCAAAATATGAATATCTCCTGTTTAGATCATTGGGATTGTTGAATTATGTCCGTATTTGGCATGATAATTCAGGCGGAAGTGGATCAGCATCATGGTTTTTGAAATATATTATTGTTCGAGATCTGCAAACAATGGAAACATTCCATTTTATTTGTCAGAGATGGTTGGCTGTTGAGAAAGATGATGGAAAAGTAAGTGTGTATGAAAGGAATGCTTGTCGATTATTTGGATTTGAATAGGTCGAACGTATTTTATTTACGGCAAGTAATGTGGAAAAACAAGAATTTTCGTATGTTTTATCAAAACAAACATATGAAAAGTTGTCCGATGGTCATTTATGGTTTTCGATATTTTTCCGTTCACCATCAAATAAATTTACACGTGTACAACGATGTACATGTTGTTTTGTTCTGTTATTTATTTCCATGTTGTTGAACATCATGTATTACGATTTATCAGATGAAACAAGTAATACAATTGGTTTATCTATCGGTGTTCTTCGGATCAATTCTCAACAGATTGTGATTGGCGTGATGACGGAACTTCTTGCGCTGTTGCCAAGTCTTCTAGTTGTTCAATTGTTCCAACGTTTGAGATCTCGCGAGGAGAAAAGCAAACGACCGAAATGGACATTGGCATGGTGGTGGATATTCATTGCCTATGGCGTTTGCTTCTTACTGGTTGGTGTCTCGATATTCTTTACCATTGCTCGTGGAATTGAATTTGGTGATTCAAAAGCACAGAAATGGTTGATATCAATTCTGACTGGATTCTTCTCCTCAATCCTTTTGACTCAACCGATGAAAGTAAGAAATTGATGATCGCTTCGTTTGATATTCACAGAGAATGTTTTTGAAGGTGTTGTGTCTGGCAATTTTCTTTACTCGTATCGTTCGGAAAAGGAACACAGACGAAGAAGCAAGTGAATATATGGGAGTAGATGCGGTTCAATTAATGAATGACGGCGAATACAATGATATCAGCAAGGTTTGTTTGTTGAATAGAAGATAAGAAAGAAAATTTTCATTTGGTGGTATATTTTAGGAGAAATCAACGCACGTTCATCGATACACAATTCATTTTGATCGGTTAAGTGAAAATGATGTAGCACGGGCACGTTTACAGCGAACAAAAGAAGTCTACATGTGGTCCATCATTCGTGAAGTTCTCACGTCGATTGGTTTTCTTATCATTCTTTGCTTTTTCACATATTCAAATCACGATCAAAATTCATTCTTTCAAGTTAATCATTTGCGGAAACTCTTTTTAAATTCAAGACAAATTGACAATGCTTATACACAAATAACAACAATCGAACAGTATTGGTCATGGCTGGAAACTAGTTTTGCCTCGAATCTTCGTGCGCAACAATGGTATAACGATGATCAACCGTATTTTCTCAATGGTTTTGTAAACGACAAATCGAACCGATTAATTGGGTGGGCAATAATGAGACAATTACGAGTGAAATCGAATTTGTGTTCAAACCAAAAACTCATCGATGTTTGTGCGTATGATTACAACTTCTGGAACGAAGAAAAACGCTCATTTGGAGTAGAATGGAAGAATGAAACAAACGGAAGATCGAATTCTTCAATAGATCAAGCATTTCAATATCGTTCAGGTGAAGAATACGGGTATGTTTATGAATTTCATGGTCGTTTATCCGATCTTCAAAATAATCTATCAAAACTGCATGAATTGGAATGGATTGATAATCGAACACGAATAATCATCATTCAAATGAGTTTATATAATCCAAACAGTCAACTATTCACCTCAGTTACTCTTCGTACGGAATTTTTATCAACTGGCACAATTGTTCCTCAATATCGGTTTGAACCATTTAACTTCAATTTAGCTTTTGGTTCGGCTTCTCAACTCGTTTGTGTCATTCTTTATGTCATATTTATTGTTTATTTGACGTTCAATGAAACGAAATCGTTAATTCGAACGAAACTTGCTTATGTCAGACAGTTTTGGTGTTATGTTGAAGTCGGCATCATTGCTTGTTCGTGGACAAGTGTGGGAATTTATGTGTGGAGATACAAAGAAGCGAAACGCATTGGTCATCTGTTTGCAGAAACAAATGGATATGTTTACATCAATTTTCAATCCGCAGTTTATGTCAATGATGTTCTATCGTTTCTTTTTGGCTTTTGTTGTTTTTTTGGTACGGTGAAATTTGTTCGTCTTTGCCGTTTCAGTCAACGATTATCATTATTTACTGAAACAGTTAAAAATGTTTTTCGAGAACTGATTTCATTCAGCTTGATGTTTTCTATCGTATTTCTGGGTTTCTTATCATTGTATTATTTATTATTTATTTCCACCATATCTTCTTGCGCAAATGTATTGAAAACTTCACAGATGTTATTTGAAATGACATTGATGAAATTTGATACGAGCGAATTAATGGAAGCACATGTAGTTCTCGGTCCATTGTGTTTTAGTTTATTTATATTCTTTGTCGTTTTCGTTTGCTTGAGCATGTTTATCACAATCATTAATGATGGCTTTCGTCGTGCTCAACAGAACCTACTACAGAAAGATGATGAAATGGTATTATTTATGTGGACAAAGTTTCAACGATGGATCGGCTGGAGTAAGTCATGCGAAGAACGGAATAATACGATGGAAATAGATTATCTTGATCTTGCTGGTGCTTTTCCCAAGAAAGTTGATAAGCTTTTACATGCTTTGAATCGAGTATGTGGTTTTATAGTGACTAAATCTGATTATTTTTATTTTTATTTAGGTGTACATCGATCAACAAACGTCCAATTTTCTCTGACGTTGCTTTTTTGTCTTGTGAATATGCGCTAATTGTTCTAAGAATAAGAATATTTATCGTATTTTATTCATTTATTCGCATTATGATAATAAATAACTACCCATACCCTAAAAATACAAAAGAAAAAAATCAATTTCGATAGTTTGGATATGTTGAATGATCTTGATCGTAATCAAGTTCACGCATTGCTGCAGCAAATTCCAAGGTTCCCATCGAGGTTTCATTAAAATTCTTCGCAATCGCCATACTCAGCTGAATCAACCGATCTTCAGGTATAATCAAATCCGATTTATTGAAAACCATTGAACAAGCATGTGTTTGCATTTCTGCCGCTGCACACAATGTATACGCATGGTAATATGCAGCACCAATCGATGGTCCACATGTAATCAAACCGTGATTACGTAGAATCATCACGTCTTTATCTCCCAAATCGCGTACAATACGTTCTTGTTCATCATTTGAAATGACAATTCCTTCATAATCATGATAAGCAATTTCTCCTGTGATATGTGTTGTTTGTGCTAGTTCAATCAGACCGTTCTTCGTTGCTGAAAGGCCAGCAACAGCCCAATTGTGATTATGATTCACGCAACGGACGTCAGGTCGTGCTCGATGAATACATGAATGAATAACGAGACCAGCTTTGTTTATTCCAAAGATATCGCCAACAACACCTGGATGAATTGTATTTCCATCGAAATCAATCTTCACCAATGATGATGCAGTAATTTCGCGATAATTTAGACCAAATGGATTGATTAATAAATGATTTTCACCGTTTGGTCCATCTACATTGCAAGTTATGTGATTATAAATCGATTCTAACCAGCCGTTTTTAGCAGCTAAACGGTAAGCAGCAGCTAATTCGATTCGTGCCTTTTGTTCATCAATGCTAAATTCATGTAGAATCGAACGATTTAAACGTTCGCGTAGATATTCTCGTGCAAATTTGTGAGAACCAACGACGTATGTTCGAGGATTGAAAATATTTCCGAGATCTTCATCCGTTGCACGTGCTCGTGATATTGCTGTTTTCTTCTTTTCCACACAATTTTTGCCGTTTAAAACCGTATGTAATGGAGAAGACATGTCGAAGTTCGACCGAAAAAAAGTACGAATATATGATTATACGTGATGTTTGGCACAGAAGAAAACAAAAGGGCATACACATGTTTATCTTATCATCGAAGATGTAACATGTCGTCATTTTTTCTTTTCCTTTCTTTTGATTCCTTAAATACAAGAGAAACAGAAATTAAAAACCGATGTAAAATCGAAGAAGTGCTTCTTACACTCATAGTCGGACTTTCTTCGCTTGCTTGATAGAGCATAATCTATTGGTCATAACATCTTTTATTGGAAAATATAACGGCTTGAAGATGGCGCTTTTGCCGAGATAAATATCTTTTACGATGCGATCTATTTGTACGTTTTTTCGAACTAACGATCAGAAACTAAGCTTAAATTGCGAAGTTGTGACTCTAGCACAAACATTAGTTTATTGGTGATGCTGTGGTTTATCTTCGAACTACTATGGATAGACTAATCTTTACGTACATGTTTATTTGTTTCAAAGCGAAGCGTCCGAGTGATACGTTTCATTCTATTCGTCGCATCGTCGTCCTTTGGATCTAGTGGTGTTCTTCGCTTTAGTTTACTGCATTCACAGAAATTCTTTTGTTTTATACGTAAGTGATCTTTGTTTGTAAATCGACCAAAAATTAGGGTTCAGTAACAGGAGTGTTGTTCTTCCTTCTTGCGTCATGTATTTATTTGTTCACGTCACTTAGTTCACTCTTCTTTTTTTAGAGAACTTTTGGGAAAGGCATGAGTTGGTTAAAAGAGATATGCGAACGATTGTTTCATTGGAGTAATATCACATACATTGCAAATAGTTACGGTGAAGACATCTGGATCTCCATTAAATCAAATGATTTGGAACTACATGTAGCTAGTATAGGATTAGATGCTATGGAATCACAAGTAACGAGGTTGTGTGATCTTAAACTGATCAAGACATCAGAGATCGGCTGGATCAAATTAACATCTGGCAACATTCATAAACATAATCGAAGCTCTAAAACAGAAAGAATAACAATCGTATGCACGGATACACTAAAAAAAGCTCTTGCAGCTGTGGCTGCAGTATCGAACAACGTGTCTGATGCAGTAACAGGAGACGTCGACTTGGTTCTAGTGCTCAACTACCAAATACAACAAAATTATTCTTATATTGTGACTAGCAACGGCGAATTTTTGCAGCAGAAATATGGAAGCAACAATTTATTTCTTGATTTTTTAAACAAAGATCACAATCCAGAAGAAACTAACTCGAACACTGCTGGCACAGAGCAGAATGAAGAACAAACAAACTTGAATATTTCTGACACTTCTCCGAACTGTTCGGTGTTTCTCTCTACTCTTTTCTACTTCTCCGTATTCATTTGTACTCCTTTGTGCATAACCATACTTCCTTCGCACATCAAAGGCGCTTCCACTTCCATTTAGTGTGAATGTGACTGTTATCATAAAAATCGTTGACAGTTGTTTTGATAACGTGCGAAAATATATAATCAAGAAAGAAGAAAAGCGAATCTTGCGCTTCAGATATTGCGTAGCTAATGTTACAACAATCAAACCGAAACTGCAGAACTTATTCTACAAAAAAAAAAGAATCCGATCATCGACGTGTGCATCTTTTTGTTTCTTATTTTGTCCTGCGCAGGTAAATCGAACATGAACGTTAAATCGCTCATCTCATGCACTTTGCGCTCGGACCAAACTGAAGGTCGTGGAAGAAGAGGACGCCTGGAAAAAATATATTACGTAGGTGGCATCAACTTTCTAAGAGATACGTGTAAACTTATCTGCAAAACTTTCTCAACATAGCAAGTACATACTCATCTCATGAATTACAATGACTGTCAATTATTCTTTTAGCTAATCATTAAAATTCATAATCCTGCTGCGTCCAATAATACAAGTTCAGTTGCTCAGCACAACACACAAAATCATACTGTTGAATAGTTTTTGTATTGGAGAGTGAAATGGTCCATCTTCTATTCCAAAGAATAATTTCCGAGAAATTCAAACTTGTTTTCGATGCAAGAAACCACGTACGAATCCTGCAGTGAAATTTTATACAGGCTGTGGACGACTATTTGAAGACTAACATTTATTTTTCTTATAATTGCATGCATTGAAAATTGAAAACTATATCATTTGCTGTATGGATCACTCACAAAACGGTTCATCACCAGTCTCTCCTGAGATTTGAGGTTATGAGCATAATTGCACATAGATTAACAATGTAAAGTTATCCACATTCTCATTCACCCTCAAGAGCAAGTCGATGAAACCGTTGATTTCATGACTATACTTCGATTTGCTTTGAGGAAATTATATTCTACACCAATGATATAATAGAATGTAGTTGAATGTCGTCACTTTATCATCGGAATTAAGAATTAACGTCATTTAATAAGATAAAAGTAAAGTAATAGCTGTTGACTGAAAAAATGACAGATTAAGAGTTGACACGTGTAATGTTTTTTTATTTTATTCGAAGAAATCGTGCCTATATATCCTATTTCCTGCATAAATCTCTGACATGCATGTTCTTCATAAGCATCTGGTAATTTGGTTTTTTAAGCAATTAGAGCTTGCAAATAAATATGGAAGTATAGTGTGTATTTGTTTCATCGATATATCTTTTTAATGGCTTTTTTCTAAAATGCAATTGGTCTCAAAAAGTAAGAAAAAAAACAATTCCTTCTAGCAATGCTTTCGTTATTAATTAAATTGATGAACATCATCATCTCTTATTCATGTTTAATGTAAACTTAGCGTCATTTTTATTCTCATTTTGTTTTCTTACTTTTTCCTCTCAGGGTATTCGAAGTCAGTCACGGAAGCTTTATTAATTATTTAGTATCACCATATGAATATGTTATATACGAATAAAATAATAGAATAATAATTCGTCATATACTTTTTATTCAAATTTTCTGATTCGTATCACATCCACTGTGATTGGATAATCTTTTGTAGATACTAAACATTTCATTCATTGTACCTACTTATGTCACTTACAGAAGATCAGAAACAGATTCTCAAATCCACAGCAGCAATTTTTAAAGAAAATGGGAAAGAAATCACTTCGATTCTTTACAAACATTTGTTTGCACATCATCCAGATTTATTAAATATATTCAATCGTACAAATCAAAAGAATGGCACACAACCATTTGCTTTGGCTAATACAGTATTTCTTGCTATTAAAAATATCGACAATTTAGAAGTACTTATGCCTCAAATCTTATTAATTGCTCATAAACATCGTGCATCAACTGTTCGACCAGAACATTATCCAATTGTTGGTAAGTATTTCCTTATTGCCATCGATGAATTTTTAGGTGGAATGGCCGATCCGGATATTCGAAATGCTTGGTCAGCTGCTTATAAGATAATATCTTCGATTTTTATTGATATTGAAAAGAAACTATACGCTGAACTTGGTGATAAACATCAACAAGGTTTTATACCATTTAAAATTATTGAAAAAGAAATCATTGCAAAGGGACCAATTGCTGCTATTACACTTGAACGTAATGATGGCGGAAAATTACAGAAATATCACTCCGGACAATATATTACACTTCAAATAAAAAAAGACGGCATTTTACATATTCGACATTATAGTCTTATGCAACCATACGATGGTAAAAGTTATCGTATTGCAATTAAACAAGATAATGATCATGAGCCAAAAGGTATTGTTTCGACTGAAATAATTACTAAATATAACGTTGGCGATATAATCACATTAAGTTTACCGGCTGGTACTTTTAAATTGGTTGACAGTGATAAACGTTGTTTATTCATAGCAGTTGGAGTGGGTATAACAGCTTTATCAGCAATGATATATGATTTACATCAGCAAGGTAAAGCTGATCTTGTAACATTAATTCATTGTGTAACAAATGAAGATCAAGCTATTTTTGCTGATGATATGCGTCGAATCTTATCAGAAAATCGATATCATGTACTTCTTCAAGGTAAAAAACAACTACATGATTTGATAAAAAAAATAATAACACCGGAAACAAATGTTTATCTTTGTGGTTCAGTACAATTTATAAATAAAGTCGAAGAATATTTATTGAAATGTAATCATCCATCTTCTCAAATTCATATTGAAACTTATCAGCCAGCACTCAGTTTAGTTAAAGGTGCAGTTAAGAATAGTGCAACAACCAAACCAATATAGAAAAATCTAACATTTCATATAACTTTACCGTTGTTCGTCTTTATCATGTAAATATCAAGAATTTGGGAATATTCAAAAAATAAATTCTAGTTTTCCTGCTTATGTTGATAACAATATTAGTCAAGTAAAAGATGCCATAGTAAAAGTACTTTTTTCTCTGCCTTTTGATCATCCTATAAAAGGTTTTCTTCAGTCATTCTAATTTCTAATGAAAGTCTTGGAGGTGTGTGAATCTCAACATTCCTTTAATTTAACTCACACATTTTTCTCGAGACATGACTGAGTCAAAGCAAGGCCGTAAAACCGTATAAGTGCATACAGATATTTGATGCTCTGCAGTCGTGTTAATTTCGCACTTGTAATTTGCTCAAAATTGAAAATTAAGGATAACAGATAAATTTAGAGAGTCAATTAATACCATAGATTGGAAGACAAGGTCATTTTCGACTTGAATCAAGTTAAATTAATTTTGCATAGGATAAAATTCAAATAATTCATATAGAAAAGAACATCAGTCACATCTAGATGCGTTCAATGGCGTTTCTGTTTCAAACGCGTCCGAGGAGACAATGAAACATCTGACGACATAAACGCGTTTCATTTGATTTTCCACAAAAAAAGATCCTGTAGCCACACCTTCGACCTGTGTCGCTATCATTATCTCTTGATGGTCATGCCTCCCATCACGCTTCAAATAGGACATTTATTCAAACATTATACATACGTTCAGATGATTCGACGAGTGAAACTAATTAGAACATGCGACCTAGCAATTACAAGTCTACTTGCTTAAGTCATTGCACTATAGACTGGCTTATCTATGAATAAGTTAGACTTCTCGTTTGAAAAGATAATCGTCTACAACTTATCTGATGTAATCAATCGTAAACGAAGTCGTAAATATATCTGAATATTATCTAATAATTCATACTTCGATATTTTTTCAGTTGAATATCAAAGATAAATAAATCGACTTTGTTCGTATTCTCATTAAAGAAGAATAATTCGATATACTAGTGAAATCTTTGTTCATTGACTGATAAATTATTTGAATATTAATTATTAGTAATTAGGATTCTCAGTACGGTTTTGGTGAATAAAATATTTATTACTTTCATTCCTTACGGTTTCAATGGGCGATTTTTTTAGTGAACATACCAACTTTTATGTATACTTTGACCAATTGTTATTTTTCATTATCTTTTTACTCATAAGAATTCTGTTTTTCAATTAAAATACCTCTCAATTCTTTTCATGAATTAGCATCAGAACAGGTAACAGAGGGTAATGTCGAACGAACGGGCTAACACCTTCGACATAGAAAGATTATGTTTAATGAGGTAGATGAACTAAATTTCAAAAAGAGGATTATTTAAAATGGATTTTCAATGGTTTCAGAAGGGGAAACAGTCTCTCCTATGAAACGCGTCCTGATGCGTTTATCCTGCGTTTAAGAGTTATACAGGAAGGAACAAGAATTATAAAATTCTCAATGGTATTACTTCGACAAAATCTATTTATTTGTTAAATTTTTGGTTTTACATCGGTACATTCTTGACAATTTTTGTTGAGCCTTTGATAGTAATTTGTTTTTTGATACACTTGTCATCATTTCCATGATGCTTAGTTTTTTTCAGGAATCGAAGACGAAATAAGATCAAAGAAATACTGATCGGGAAGAGACGTAGATAAAAGCGACGCTACCGCTGCACAGAAATAAATGAGATATGTGGCCATGTTTAAACATGTGCGTGGCCTACAGCAGTCGATAAATAACACTCATTCGTTCTGCTCACTTTCTTTCTTTTTCTTTTCGTATTATATGATTTCCTTTATTTTCACAAATATACACACACAAGGTACATCCGGTTTATTCATGGATCATTCATTTACACAACATTCGCAACGAAACAGTCTTACCATGACTACCTTATCGTTTCTCATGAGAAGTATTCTGATTGAATTGCGAATGAATATCGACAGAATTGGATATGTCACTTGCATCTTAATTTCGAGATATGGCAGTATTCGAAAGCTCGTCGTCACGGTCGTAGGAATAGTAACCTGTTTCATCCTCGTACCCCCTTTGTATCAAAGTATGAATTGTTACATTGAGGACACTAGATTTCCAACAGTGACTCCGCGCCTCGATGAGCTCAAATCCTACACTCATGGTCCGTTTCGTTCTTCATTACCGACAACAAATGTGATCGTTATTTTGACTACTGGTGTCCATCGAGAATTAATCCTTCGACTAATGCTTTTCGATGAAAAGTTTGCTGACAACTTCACGACACCTTTAATGATTGTGCATAGCGGTATTCCGACACAAAGCAGTTTAAACCGTCTTACACATTTTATCCAGCGACCGATCATATTTCTTCGAATTGATCGTATTTTTGAAATGTTTCCAGCCAACTTCGATCCATGTCGTACAAAGGCCACTTGGTCCACTCGAGGCAAGTGGAACTATCAATTGATGATTCGATTTTGGACAAAGATCGTTTTCGAACTACCTCAACTACAGCAATATGACTATATGATGNTCGGTTCAAATACAACAAATTTCACTGCACTTGATCAGTTATTTGTTGACAATCCACAAATCAGTTATTGGAAATTCGAAGCCGTTTACTCATTCCCAACAACAATCAGTAGAAGTGCATTAAATTTTATAGTAAATGAACCACCTGTGAATGGTTCATGTTCAATAAGTCCACAGAATGGTACAACAAGTACTGTGTTTCAAATGTCGTGTTCAGATTGGTTTGATGACGATGGAATCAAAGATTATTCAGTTTATAGTAAATACTTCCAAATGTCTCTCTAATTTGAGGTCTATGTTATTTGTTTTTTAGGTCGACAAAGCGATCGTCCAAGTTTGCTGATGATTGCATTTTCATCAGTATCAAATATTGATATGCGATTGCCACCTGGTGAAAATACGAACACATCATTAGTTCATTTGATTGTTCACATTCGAGATAAATTTGATTGTGTTACGAAATATAATTTGTCTTCAGTTGTTGTTCGAATTGATACAACAGATGTAAATAAACTCAGTGATCCGATTATTCAATTACTTGTAAGTGGAAATCCAAATGTTGTTGGACAAATTCTGATTTCGCTTTCACAAGTTTTCAACGAAATGAATAAGGAAAGTATTAAAAATGCGGTTTCAGGTAATTCTCTGATGCAAGCTAACGTAATAATGATTGCTTTCTTCTATCGACATAGGCGGTGTTTCTGCGGTGCACATTTCGATATCATCGTTAGAAAGTGAAACGTTGCCACAAAACTCTGCTTCATTCAATCAATCAGCCTTGGTCGACTTCAAAAACCAGCTGAATACTCGAGCAAATATCAGAGAATATCTGATTTCCTTTACAAGAGATTTACTTATTACAAGTTCCGATAGTATCAAACTACAGGGGTCTATGTTCGCACTATTGACCCGAGCAACAAATGAGCTAACGCGATCATCTGCAGTAAGCATTTTACATCACAGGGATTGTGTGAACAGTTCTTTTCTTCAATATAAACTAGATGATTGCGTCGAATAAATGTTATCGCTTAGCTGAAGCTTTATATTCCATGACGCGTGTTATTTCTTATGAAGATGTTCAACTTGCATCTAGTCAAATAACTGAATGTGCTGTTAATGTAATGACTGTAAGGAAATATCTATCATACATTGATTTTAATTGTAAAAGAAATGTATTCAACTATCTAGGCTATGAATGGTCCATTACAACAACGGACACTTGTACTTGATTCTGATTTCCATCAAGCAAATACTTTCCCTTCTGATTATGATACTGATCTGGAATCCGTGTGGTCTAATCCAAGTAAATGACATTTTCTGATGAAAATTGACCATTGAGTTTGTTTGTTTTTTGTAGACATCTTTGCTGATGGAAATGACTTCTCATCGGAAACAATTGACAAAAATCGGAATATTTATTATCAAAAGCAAACAGCGAATGTGATTGCAGAACAAGTTCGTGAAACAATTTCATTGATAAGTTACGCATTGAATCTCCATATGAACATTGGACAAAATCTGACAATGACTTCTCCATCAGTATTTATGCTGTTAGAAACACTATCATCAAATTCACTTTCAAATAAACTCATTTCACAAATTGAAAATGTCCAAATTCAAATGCCACTCACTTTTAATTCAACTCTAAACGATAATCAAATCATTTCACTTCGAGTTCGTTGTTTCTTCAAGATATCTATTACAATCTTTCTTATTTTNACGAGACCAGCTTTGTTTATTCCAAAGATATCGCCAACAACACCTGGATGAATTGTATTTCCATCGAAATCAATCTTCACCAATGATGATGCAGTAATTTCGCGATAATTTAAACCAAATGGATTGATTAATAAATGATGTTCGCCGTTTGGCCCATCTACATTGCAAGTTATGTGATTATAAATCGATTCTAACCAGCCGTTCTTAGCAGCTAAACGGTAAGCAGCAGCTAATTCGATTCGTGCCTTTTGTTCATCAATGCTAAATTCATGAAGAATCGAGCGATTCAAACGTTCGCGTAGATATTCTCGTGCAAATTTGTGAGAACCAACGACGTATGTTCGAGGATTGAAAATATTTCCGAGATCTTCATCCGTTGCACGAGCTCGTGTTATTGCTGTTTTCTTCTTTTCCGAATAATTTTCACCGTTTGAAACAGTATATAATGGAGAAGACATGTCGAACCTTGACCGAAAAAAAGTACGAATATATGATTATACGTGATGTTTGGCACAGAGGAAAAGAAAAGGTATATGTTAATCTTATCATTCCAGATGTAATATATTATTTTCTCTTTTTCGTTCTATCACAAAGAGCGAATGACGAAGGAGTGCCTCTCATGCACATTTACCATCTTTTCCACTTTCTTTATTTGTTCAATATGGAACATAGTCTATCAGTTGTGAATAATCGACTTTTTTGCAGTGAAAACGCACAACGCTTTGAAGATGTCGCTTTTGGCGAAATAAATCTCATTCAAAACAAATTTTTACGCTGTTCTTCTCTTACTTCTGAAAAAGGTTTTTTTCGACATTGAAATCATAAACAAACTTTAAGTTGCAAATTGACGACTCTGGCATTGTTAACTGATGATGGCGCTGTGAATTACTCGGAACCTACTATCTGTGGATAGGTCGATTAGCCATACACATCCTCTTCTGTTTTGTAACAGAGCATTCGGAGGACATATTTTCTTCTTTTACTGTGCTGACGATGATGTCTTTTACGAAAAAGAGGATCAACTACATTTTTGAATATATTCACTTTGTTCACTTTCGGTTTGACATCGTCAGAAAAGTGAGATATTTGTAGATCGACCAAAAAACGGAAGCTTGTCAAGCTATTTTCGGAAACATCTCATGTTGACGCAACTTTTTAAGTGCTAGCTTTGAAACTACAGTCAAAGTTACATATCTGCTTGTCGTTTTCAATTCACTTATGATATGCATTTATTTATGTCAATTATAATTTGATATATTTTAGAGGAGACTTATTGGAAAAGAAATGAGCTGGCTAAAAGAATTATGGGAAAGGTTGTTTCATTGGAGCAATATTACGTATATTGCAAATGCTTATGGTCACGACATCTGGATTGCTGTTAAATCGAATGACTTGGAATTGAACCATGCGCGATTGGGGGTGGTCGTTCCGAAAGAACAAGAAACTGCGCCGATTGGTTTCCAGCTGGAAAGGACATCAGATACCGGTTGGATTAAGTTAACACGTAACAAAATTCATAGACACAACAGAAGTTCCAAAACGGAAAGAATAACAGTTGTACGTGCAAATACGTTGGAAGAAGTTCTTGCTGCTGTAGCTGCAGTATCAAAGCAAGTGGCAGAAGCTGCGATATTAGAAAAGATCGCCGTAACTAGAAAAACAGTCGAAGTCTCTAGAAATGCAACATCAGAGAAAACCACTGAAACTACAATAAGCACAGAAGTCTTTGGAATTAAAAAATTAACGGAGGCTCTAGCGACTCTAACCATACCATCAAATGGAGCGTCAGCAGTAGTCGAACCGAACGAAGCACCTGCAGTAGCCGAACCGAACGAAGCACCTGCAGTAGCCGAACCGAACGAAGCACCTGCAGTAGCCGAACCGAACGAAGCACCTGCAGTAGTCGAACCGAACGAAGCACCTGCAGTAGTCGAACCGAACGAAGCACCTGCAGTAGCCGAACCGAACGAAGCACCTGCGGTAGCCGAACCGAACGAAGCACCTGCAGTAGTCGAACCGAACGAAGCACCTGCAGTAGTCGAGCCGAACGAAGCACCTGCAGTAGTCAAGCCGAATGAAGCAGCCGAAGTCTTAGTATTCAACTACGAAATACAACAGAATTATTCTTACGTTGTGACCGGGAAAGGCGAATTTTTACAGCAGAAATATGGAAGTAACAATTTATTTCAAGATTTTACAGAGCATTGCCACCGTGGAACTCCACCAGCTAGCGATGTTTTTAGTCTTGATCCTTATTTGTGTCTATCTGCACTTCTTGGTACTTCACTATTCTGTTTTGTATTTCGCCATCGTATTGTAGCGTTTTTCACTCCTGATTAGTTACGATACTATTGATATTTAGCATTTGTTTTTAATCATGATTTGATGAACAAAACTTTTTCGAAAGCTATGAAATAAAGATGAAAGCAAGTCTGGCCACAGTCATTCTACAAATATGATTTGTTTGGCTCACTAATCGTGTCATAAGAGTTCCTACTAGCTGATGCGTCTTCTCGTTTCTTATTTTGTCGTGCGTACGTAAATCGAACACCGACGTCCACTCAGTTTGGACTCCAGACATCATGAGTTTGACAACGTCATCTCTCTTTTCTTCTTCGACACTTTCTACTGCATGACGTACATGCCAACGAAGTTTTTAAATTGAAAACAAAACAATGTTTTTCATTTACATAAACTATCGTAAAACGTAGCGAAATATTATCGTTGTTTCTACGCATTTTATCATGATTCGTCCCTCCGACCCGGACACTGTTTATACCCCTATTGCATTCGGTAAGCAAATTTTGTATCAGAATCTGTAACGAACTATTAGTTTCTATTGACCACTACAGTGGGCTGTAGTTTACAATTTTATGCGCCATACTCAGATCGTCTCATAGGATTAGTAACCAAGGATGAGTACGAACAATCACTGAAGAATATCAATGATGCGGGCAAAATCTGGAAGCGATATTTGATTGTTTTAGTGCTATTGCTTCCAGTAGTAGCATTAGGAACTGTTTTTCTGATCATTCAAGGCGTAATGGGCGATAAAATAAATCAGGCAGGCAAATCTGTCTTATTAGCTTTTGGAATAATACTACTGGCCATAGCGATGGTCGGTTGTATGACTGGAGCACAAGTGTTATTTCATCTATGGTACAGGAGAATAAAACAAGTAACTGAGATGGAATCGGCAAAATATTCTACCAGATCGCCTATCTCATGCACTTGGGAAACGGACCAGACCGGAAGGCGCTCGGAAGAAATATATTATGTAAGTAATATCTGTTCTCTGAGGGATACACATAGACTTGTCCAATATAGCGAGTACATACTCATCTCATGAATTACAATGACTGTCAATTATTCTTTTAGCTGAGCATCAAAATTCATAATCCTGCTGCATCCAATAATACAAGCTCAGTTCCTCAGCACAACACACAATATCATGATGTTGAATATTTCTCTATTGGAGACCGAAATGATCCATCTTCTATTCCAAAGAATAATTTCAGAGAAATTCAAACTTGTTTTCGATGCAAGAAACCACGTACAAATCCTGCAGTGAAATTTTGTACAGGTTGTGGACGACTATTCGATGACTAATCTCTATTTTTCTTATAATTGCATGCATTGAAAACAAGAACACTATTCATCACCAAACTATATCGTTTGCTGTATAGATCCCTGATAAAACGGTTCATCACCAGTCTCTCCTGAGATTTGAAGTTGTGAACATAATTGTACATAGATTAATAACGCAAAACTATCCACATTCTCATTCACCCTCAAAAGCAAGTCGATGAAAGCGATGATTTCATGACTATACTTCGGTGTGCTTTGAGGAAATTATATTCTACACCAACGTCACTTAATAAAATGAAAATAAAGTAATAGAAGTGACAGATTATAAGAGTTGACATGTGTAATGTTTTATCTTATTCGAAGAAATCGTGCCTATATATCCTATTTCCTGCATAAATCTCTGGCATGCATGTTCGCCATAAGCATCTGGCAACTAGATTTTTTAAGTAATTAGAGCTTGGAAATAAATACGGAAATATAGTGTGTATTTGTTTCATCGATATATCTTTTTGATGGCTTCCTTCTAAAATGCAATTGGTCTCAAAAAGTAAGAAAAAAAAAGAATTCTTTCTAGCAATGCTTTCGTTATTAATTAAATTGATGAACATCACTATGTTTTATTCATGTTTTATGTAAACTTAGTGTCATCTTTATTCTCATTTTATTTTCTTACTTTTTCTTCTTAGGATATTCGAAGTCAGTCACGAAGCTTTATTGTTTAGTATCATCTTATGACGATGTTATACACGAATCAAATGGTAGAATAATAATTCGTCATATACTTTTTGTCCAAAGTTTCTGAATCGTATCACATCCACTATGATTGGATAATCTTTTGTAGATACTACACATTTCATTCATTGTACCTGCCATGCCACTGACAGAAGGTCAGAAACAGATTCTCAAATCAACAGCACCAATTTTTAAAGAGAATGGCAAAGAAATCACTTCGATTCTTTACAAACATTTGTTTGCACATCATCCAGATTTATTAAATATATTCAATCGTACAAATCAAAAGAATGGCACACAACCATTTGCTTTGGCTAATACAGTATTTCTTGCTATTAAAAATATCGACNATTTTTAAAGAAAATGGGAAAGAAATCACTTCGATTCTTTACAAACATTTGTTTGCACATCATCCAGATTTATTAAATATATTCAATCGTACAAATCAAAAGAATGGCACACAACCATTTGCTTTGGCTAATACAGTATTTCTTGCTATTGAAAATATCGACAATTTAGAAGTACTTATGCCTCAAATCTTATTAATTGCTCATAAACATCGTGCATCAACTGTTCGACCAGAACATTATCCAATTGTTGGTAAATATTTACTTATTGCCATCGATGAATTTTTAGGTGGAATGACCGATTCGGATATTCGAAATGCTTGGTCAGCTGCTTATAAGATGATTTCTTCGATTTTTATCGATATTGAAAAGAAACTATACGCTGAACTTGGTGATAAACATCAACAAGGTTTTATTCCATTTAAAATTATTGAAAAAGAAATCATTGCAAGGGGACCAATTGCTGCTATTACACTTGAACGTAATGATGGTGGAAAGTTACAGAAATATCATTCCGGACAATATATTACACTTCAAATTAAAAAAGACGGCATTTTACATATTCGACATTATAGTCTTATGCAGCCATACGATGGTAAAACTTATCGTATTGCAATTAAACAAGTTAATGATCATGAGCCAAAAGGTATTGTTTCGACTGAAATAATTAATAAATATAACGTTGGCGATATAATCACATTAAGTTTACCGGCTGGCACTTTTAAATTGATTGACAATGGTAAACGTTATTTATTCATAGCAGTTGGAGTGAGTATAACAGTCTTATTAGCAATGATATGTGATTTACATCAGCAAGGTAAAGCTGATCTTGCAACATTAATTCATTGTGTAACAAATGAAGATCAAGCTATTTTTGCTGATGATATGCGTCGAATCTTATCAGAAAATCAATATTATGTACTTCTTCAAGGTAAAAGACAACTACACGATTTGATAAAAAAACTAATAACATCGGAAACAAATGTTTATCTTTGTGGTTCAGTACAATTTGTAAATAAAGTCGAAGAATATTTATTGAAATGTAATCATCCATCGTCTCAAATTCATATTGAAACTTATCAGCCAGCACTCAGTTTAGTTAAAGGTGCAGTTAAAAATAGTGCAACAACAACCAAGCCAATATAGAATAATCTAACATTTCATATAACTTCAATCATTTTCTGTTCGAAAAATGATTCGTCAACTTACCGTTGTTCGTCTTTACGATGTAAATGCCAAGAATTTGGCAATATTCAAAAAATAAATTCTCGTTTTCCTGCTTATGTTGATGACAGTATTAGTCAAGTAAAAGATGCCATAATAAAAGTAAGTACTTTTTCCCTAGTTTTTAATCATCCTATCAAAGGTTTTTTTCAGTCATTCTAATGTCTAATGAAAGTCTTATGGAAGTGTGTGAATCTCAACATTCTTTTAATTTAACCCACGCATTTTGCTCCAGATATGACTGGGTCAAAGCAAGGGCCGTGAAACCGTATAAGTATATACAGAAATTTGATGTTATTCAGTGTTAATTTCGCACTTGTAATGTGCCTAAAATTGAAAATTAAGGATGACGGATAAATTTAGAAAGTCAATTAATACCATAGATTGGAAGACAAAGTCATTTTCGATTTGAATCAAGTTAAATTAATTTTGTATAGGATAAAATTCAAATGACTCATTTACGTATATTCAATCAGTCCTTTTGAACACGGACAATTCCACATATTCATGTTCGTATCAATGCATATGCAAAAGTATGTAAAGATGATCATATTGTACGCGTCACATCTAGATGCGTTCAATGGCGTTTCTGTTTCAAACACGTCCGAAGAGACAATGAAACATCTGACGACACAAACGCATTTCATTTTATCTCCCAAAAAAAAGGATCCGACAGCCACAACTTTGACTTGTGTCGCCATCATTATCTCTTGATGGTCATGTCTTCCATCACGCTTCAAATAGGACATTTATTCAAATTTTATACATACGTTCACATGGTTCGACGAGTGAAACTAGAACATACGACTTTTTAAATACAAGTCTACTTATTTAAGCCATTGCACAACACTGGCTTATCTATAAATAAGTTAGACTTCTTGTTTGAAAAAATAATCGTCTACAACTTATCTGATGTAATCAGTCGTAAATATATCTGAATATTATCTAATAATTCATACTTCTAATGGTTTTCTAACGATAAAACTTCCATATTTTTTTTCTCAGTTGAATATCAAAGATAAATAAATCAACTTTGTTCGTATTTCTCATTAAAGAAGAATAATTCGATATATTAGTGAAATCTTTGTTCATTGATTAAGAAATTATTTGAATATTAATTATTAGTAATTACGATTCTCAGTAAGGTTTTGGTGAATAAAATATTTATTACTTCCATTCCTCACGTTTTCAATCAGCGATTCTTAGTGAACACACCAACTTTTATGTATACTTTGACCAATTGTTATTTTTCATTATCTTTTTACTCCTAAGAATTCTGTTTTTCAATTAAAATACATCTCAATTCTTTTCATGAATTAACATCAGAATAAGTAACAGAGGGTAATGTCGAACGAACGGGCGAACATCTTCGATATAGAAAGATTATGTTTAATGAGGTAGATGAACTAAATTTCAAAAAGAGGATTATTTAAAATGGATTTTTAATGATTTCAGAGTTATAAAATTCTCAATGGTGTTATTTCGACGAAATCTATTTATTTGTTAAATTTTTGGTTTTACATCTGTACACTCTTGACAATTTTTTGATGAGCCTTTGATAATAGTTATTTAATATTTATTGTTGAATAAAATTTGTTTTTTCATACACTTGTCATCATTTCGATGATGTTTAGTTTTTTTTTAAGAATCGAAGACGAAATAAGATCAAAGAAATGATGGTAGGGAAGAGGAAAGAGAGGAGACGTAGATAAAAGCGACGCTACCGTGCAAAGAAATAAATGAGATATGTGACCATTTTTAAACATGTGCATGGCCAACAGTGGTCGACAAATAATATTCATTCGTTCTGCTCACTTCCTTTCTTTTTCTTTCGTATTCTATGATTTCTTTCATTTTCACATATATACACACACAAGGTACATCCAGTTTATTCATGGATCATTCATTTACACAACATTTGCATCGATATCAATATTGAACTGTTCTTCATCTTTGTTGCAACGAAACAGTTTTACCATGATTACCTTATCGTTTCTCATGAGAAGTATTCTGATTGAATTGCGAATGAATATCGACAGAATTGGATATGTCACTTGTATCTCAATTTCGAGATATGGCAGTATTCGAAAACTCGTCGTCATGGTCGTAGGAATAGTAGTCTGTTTGATCCTCGTACCCCTTGTGTACCAAAGTATGAATTGTTACATTGAGGACACTAGATTTCCAAAAGTGACTCCGCGTCTCGATGAGCTCAAATCCTATACTCATAGTCCGTCTCGTTCTTCATTACCGGCAACAGATGTGATCGTTATTTTGACTACTAGTGTCCATCGAGAATTAATCCTTCGACTAATGCTTTTCGATGAAAAGTTTGCTGACAACTTCACGACACCTTTAATGATTGTGCATAGCGGTCTTCCAACACAGAGCAGTTTAAAACGTCTTACACATTTTATCCAACGACCGATCATATTTCTTCGAATTGATCGCATTTTTGAAATGTTTCCAGCCAACTTCGATCCATGCCGTACAAAGGCCACTTGGTCCACTCGAGGCAAGTGGAACTATCAATTGATGATTCGATTTTGGACAAAGATCGTTTTCGAACTACCTCAACTACAGCAATATGACTATATGATGAGACTTGATGACGATTCACAAATAATGAACAAGTGGTTGAATGTTTTCGATGAAATGCGTCGTACACATGCAGTTTATTTCGCAAATGATGTTGTGATCGAGGAGGAAAGAGTGCTGCCTGGTACTCTAAAGTTAAAACCAGTGACATTCGAGTACCAGAAGATGAAAAATATCAAAGTGAAGCAGGCGGAAATGCTTCGTCAAGCATTCACTGATGAGTATGTTCTTAGTTATGCGAACAATTTCGAAGTAATGCGATTAGACTTTTTTCGACGCTCGGACGTTCGTCAATGGATCGAGATGATTGATCAAACTCATGGCATTTTTAAGTATCGATGGGGCGATGCTGTTATACGATATCTAACCATTGCCTTATTTACAGAAGAACACGAAGTGTTGCATCGCTCCCAATATAACCTTTCGTATTGTCACAGAAAATGTGGTTTACCGACGTCATTAAAACTGAAACTAAAGCAATACGTGCAATAGACGTGGATCTTTAGTTCAATTGGCCTTCTCTGTCTGCGATGGAAAAGAATAGAAATGTAATTTTCTATATTTTTTTAATTTTTCATGCCGTTAACGTTCAAAAACTACGTTTTCCATCGGTCGTGTGTCTTTCTAACATACATTATCTACTTGTTATCAAAGTATGTCACACTGAAGAATCCATCGATCATTGAAAACATGCTCATCTAATGGCGTATGTTAATATTTAGTTAATATAAGCTGGCATTTGTGAAACGATATACAGATCTTGTAAGTCAACTGGTGAGACGACAAAAAAGAGAATGTTTTCTGTATGCCAGTAGTTTATTAACGTCACTCTGTAGTGAAAATATCACATAAGCGGTGTGTCTTCATAAAACTGTCATTGATGAGAGACATTTGAGTCAACTTCCTCGGAATCTGATGAAAACTGTTTTTTGATTAGTGTTCATGAATCATCTTAACTACTTTTTCATGCGCGTTTTGCATAAACTGAAAAGCACTTTCTTTTCTCATGTAAGTTCTAAGCATTCGCACACATCACGTTAGTACTGCTATCGTTTTCAAATGAAAATAAACTATAGAATGTCAGCATTACACACATGTAGTTACTATGCTTTCGTGCGTGTTGAAACATACTGATACCGTTTGCGACCCCGAGTTCGTCACAATAACATTGATCTGGCTGTCATTATTCAGATAACCAAACTGTAATCGCACTAAGTATGATTCCTGTTGAATGCTTGGTTTGATTGAAAAAATTGCGACCTCCGTAATTCATCAATACACTCATCGTATTGTCACTTCTATTGATTACTACTAAATCTAATTTGACGTCTTTGTCTAAATCAACTGCAGTGATAGCACTAGGATATCGACCGACAGTCCTGTTCAGCTGTACAAAGAATGCTTCATTGTCATCTCTAAACATCACACTCAATACATTACGACCATTGCTTGTAATTGTCAGATCAATCCGACCGTCCTTCTCGAAATCACCTGCCATAACTGCAGTCACCGATCGACTCGCTGTAAACATTGTCCACTTATAGGAAGTTCCGTTTCCATAGCCTGCATAGATGCTGAGCGAGTTGTTTTTCTGATTGACAAACAGAAGATCAGCTTTGTTATCGTTGTTCGAGTCAGTTGTAATGAAAGACACTGGCTGCGCATCAAGTGCAATACTGAATTCATCGCGAAGGGTGCTATTTCCGTTACCTAGATGCAACGAGGCATTAGAAGACGAATGATAAATCACTGTGAAGTTGATTTTTGCATCCACGTTGAAGTCAGCTGTTACCTTTCTGATTGGCCACTGCGATGCCCTTCTTTCCATCGCTATTGAGACCTGCATAGGCAAGAAATGCTAGTAGTTCACCAGTAGTGTACTGATCTGTTTCTTTGAAATCACTAGTGCCATTGCCAAGCAGAACACTGACAGTGTTTGCATGACTGATGGTAATGATGAGGTCTAGGCGATTGTCAGCGTCCAAGTCAACCACTACGATACATGTTGGATAGCTGCGAACATATAAAGATGTGTCAGACCGGAAGGAGTCGTCGCCGATCTCCAATGCAATGCTTACTGCTCCATCGGTTTGAGAAGTAATGGCGAGATCTAATATTTTATCATTCTTAAAGTCATCTGTGACGATCATTGATAGTGTGTAGTCAACAGTACAGGTTGCTCGGTATTGAAAGGTGCTGCTTTTAGAGCTAGCGAAGACTGAAATGAGATTATCATTATAACATTAATCATCGCCAAGTCTAGTATTGTGCCATTCTTAAATTTAACTACAATTACTGATGATACGACTAAATTAACATTTAACGTGTTCGTATTTAGAAACTGACCATCACCCTTCCCGAATAATATTCGTGTTGTAATGTTGTACTAATTGATTACAACCAAGTCCAGAATCTTGTCGCTGTTGAAGTCAGCCGTTTTGATGAAGATAGGTGAATACCCAACATTATAATCATCGAGAGTATGAAATCTGCCTCGTCCATCGCTGAGTAGAATACGAACGCTGTTTACATCTCTATCTACGACGGCCAAATCAACTGATGCGTCATTGTTAAAATCACCTGAGAACGTCATATTCATCATTGAGTAACAGACTGACGCTATTAGCTGCAGCATAAGAAACAGCTGCATCGAATCGCTATAAAAGAGGAATAGCAGGTTAGACCTTGCTGCCTGACACACTTTTCGTTGTCTGTCAGCAAGTGAAATACTTAGCACTTATGACGTTAAACGCCAATCTTTCGATCTTTTCCATTCAGTTTCTCATTTCACTGTTCCTTACATTACTCTTTTCTGAAGGACTCTAGTCGTGGATCGAGTTATCGACTGACATCGTTAATTGATACACATCTTTTCTCCATGCCAATTTATTTAGAAAGACTAGTAAATAAGCTATGTCGTCGCTCATTCTTCTCTGTTTCAGATTCAATCTGGTACTCAGAAGGCTCATTTCACTTAGCGCACCTGTTAGAATGAGAGATTGCGCAGAATATCAGTCAGCGGATCCCAGACATCGACAAGTGGCAGTAGAAACTGTAGTGTATTACTACTTTCAATTATTTCATTTTCTTTTTCTTTCCCAAGCAATACGTGTGACACAGTATCATTAACGAATCGATACATTTAAACACCTCTCACTTAATGGTTTCGTACGAAAATGAACTTTTATTGAATTCCATCATTAATCAAATTAAGAAAAACACTAGTCCAGCAAGTATTAGTTTGTCAGAGAATAAATTAGAAATAGGTTGCATCGTCCTGATCGTCGCCAGCATAACAGTCATTGTTCTGATGGACCTCGTCGCTCGTTTCCGGAGGTACCTTTTGTTTCCGGCGACAACAACAGCATTGTTTTCTAAATAAGTGTTCATCATACCAGCTAAGCGTTCGAAGAGGCCGTGGCAACCATGACCAACTTCTCAAGCCACTTGGCAACCACGTTGGGCGATGACTTTGAAGAACATTGATGATGACAACAATGATAATAAGCAGCACAACAGGACCAAGTACACCACCAAACACGTACCTATGCAAGATAAATAAAATATGAATCATACGGATAATAATTGACTCACCATCCAGCGAGTGAAAGAGCACAGACGATCGTAGGAATAATAAAGAATGATGATACAATATAGACAATAGCAAACCATCGATATTGGGCTGTTGTTTTCCCTAGCTTTTTCGCCAATGGGATGGGAAGTCGCATAAATGGAATTGGAAACCAAATTAAAATACCTGAAGAGATGTATGTCTTTTATCAGAATAAAATCGCATTCGAAATGTTTCTTCTTACCGAACACATTGAAGAACGTATGGCACAGGGCAATTTGCAGCGAATTTTTTAGTTCCTTTGTGCTCACTGCTGTCAATGCTGCCATAATACCAGTAATTGTTGTACCAATATTGGAACCTAATGTAAACGGATACACTCTTTCCACGGTGATGATATTCAGGCCAACTAATGGCGTTAATGTTGATGTAAATATCGAACTACTTTGAACCAAAATTGTTAGGACACATCCAACCTTAAAATACTGAGTTCTATTTAGAAACTGTGTGTATATATTTACCAGCATGGCCAAGTATGGTGTGAAGTGTTTAAATATACCGGGAAAATTTGAGTTGACAACTTTGTAAATCACAGTTTTCACTGTTCCTTTCAACAAGGACTGAAGAATCTTCACCAGAAATAACAAACACAGACATAGGAGAACAGTTGATATGATCAATAAAACAAGTCCGAGAACCCAATCTGGCCAAGTGACTTTCGCGAATAAAAATGGACAGTATTCATTTGGAACAAGAACGTACGTTCCATTGTCACTCTCGTTTTTGAACGAACAATATCGTTTTACCAACGAGATATCAGGATCGGCAATACCTAATGCTACATTCTGTATTGCTTTTTTGTCCAGCTGAAAGAAAAATGTACCAACAATAGAAAGAGCCTCTCCACCGATAAGAACACATACTCGAATAATCGTTTCTGTCAAGGGCTTTGTTATAACTGTTAAAAATTCTGGATTGGAATTTGGATTCCGTTGCAGATCTATTGAATTGGTTATTGCACCGGTTAGACGATATAGCATGCCTGATGCAATCTCGAGAGGCAATAAAACAAGAACCGTCAACCAGTTAAACATATCATGTACAGTTGCACCAGCAAATGCGCGACTAAATTCTTCACGATTTCCCTACAAAGTACATCTTCATCGATTTCTTTGTTTCAAAAACTCAATACGCACTGATTGTGTCAATGCAACTAACGTATTTGTCACCGATGTTCCTTTTCAAAATAGAATTTGTCAAACATCCTTAAAACTATCCGAAAAAATATTACCGATATTCGCTCCTAGTAGAAAAATACAGTAATGGATATGTATTAAAGTAAATATGAACTTACCCATCACGATTGGTATGGCTCGCTGAACAGGCAGAACTAATCGATTGAAATTCAATCAAAAAGATAGGTAAGATAAAATGAAAATCTACTTGATGATGAAACCATTGCTACCACAATTGAGGTGGATGTTGATGAACTTTGAACAAGAACAGTTGCTAATAGACCAAGCATCAATCCAGCGATCGGATTGGAAAGAATTGATCCTTCCGAAAAGACTTGACCAGTTATTTTTCCTAAACAAACAAAATTCTTTTCTTTTTTCTTCTCATCTCAAAACATGTCTCGTACCGCCAATAAGTCGAAATGCGGAACTCATTAAATCCAATGAACATACAAAGAAATATAGCAGACTCAATAAACCCAGTAGTTTTGCAATGAGAATGATCACAAATTTGATCTGTTGATTTCTATTCATATCTAAATGATTAGCATCATTAGAGAGAACGAAAATCACCGTTTTCATGCTGACTTACCCTTCCATTTCGTTTCTTCATCATTCTTAGTCGCATTTAGTGCATCTTCAGCGTTGAATACTTTGTTCGACTTGTTCCACATTTCTAATGCGAATGCCGATGGAAAATAGATTTCGCATTTCCTTAAATAGTCGCGCTAGTTCCTCGAAAACTGTCGAATGACTCAAGATGACTAAATGAGAGAGAAAAAGAGCTCGCATGCACCTATCACGTCGAGACGACATGTTCCTAGGGAGTTGTTGCAAAAACATTCATGTATTTACAATAATCTCTCATTTTGCAGGCCATAGAAGTATTTGTTCGACGTTATCTTAATAGATTCAACCAATGATGATGTCGTATGATTCACAGCGTTGAAATTAACCCAGCAAACAATTCGTTCTGATCGTCTTTACCGTAAATAGAGTTAGAGCAAGAACGCCATTCGAAACATCTTGTTCAATGAATTGCAGTTGCATTGAATGGACGAACTGATATTCACACATCCGCGTAGCATTAGAACAAAGAAGCCAGGATTCCATTGTTATGTCAGTCTGAGGAAATTGTCAAATGTCGTTCTTTTTATGAACAACGTTTTGCCGAAAGATTTGGAAATTGCATCATGAGAATATTCATCGATGTTTTACTTTATTTGTAAGAGAATTTTATCAATTATTTCAAACATGAAAAATTCTACGAATAACAACAAGATGAATATCGTGTCCGAATGCTCGTTTTGTATCTTTGCAAATGACGTTCGTTCGCATCGAAAGAGTTTTTCTCTTACCATTTCTTATCTTTATAATCTCTCGAGGTACGTATCTTCAAATAAAAAGAAACGAAGATCATGCGTACTGGGCGTGTTTCTTTTCCAAATAAAGATTTATTTGCATGAACTTCTTCAGTTTCAAGCAGATAATTGCTTTGATAATCAGAATGATGTTTTACGATATCTCTGTGTTGCTTTGTTGGAAGAATGTGAAATATTTATGTACTTCTTCTCTCAAACGGATTTGAAAGATATGCCAAGGGTGTGATGAATAATCGAAAAAATGTGTTCTTTTATAATGTTAGATCTCCTGTTAGTCATTGGAGTACTTACAGTTGTAATAATTACCTCTGATGAGAATGTGTACCGAAGATTTTTCAAAAGTAAATTCGACACGAGACTGTGTCGTTATTAATACTGAACGTTCCTTGTAGGAGAATCTGACGTGTTTTAACTAATTATAAATGCACTTTTCTGATGCATTATCATGAAGTTTTGTATTGCAGTAGGAGATAGCTCATTGAACACAAAAACACACAAAGAAAAAATGAGTTGTAGAAAGGATGTTAGTGTACTCGTTGAAATTTCTTTTCTTGTCTCGTTCTTTCACTCGTATTTTGCTTATTGACATTTGCTGCCAAAGAGCGCATTCGAAGAACCTTTTCTAACGTATCATAACGACTCAATCCTTATTCTCAACGTTTTGAGTTAGTAAATTTCATCTCTACTCGATGCAAAAAAAAGGTGATGTGAGTGTATATTCAACTATAATTAGAACAATTATTCCCATCTATAATGATGTTTGATCTCTTTCCTATCGTACCGATAACAATTAGANCACATTTTATCCAACGACCGATCATATTTCTTCGAATTGATCGCATTTTTGAAATGTTTCCAGCCAACTTCGATCCATGCCGTACAAAGGCCACTTGGTCCACTCGAAGCAAGTGGAACTATCATTTGATGATTCGATTTTGGACAAAGATCGTTTTCGAACTACCTCAACTACAGCAATATGACTATATGATGAGACTTGATGATGATTCACAAATAATGAACAAGTGGTTGAATGTTTTCGATGAAATGCGTCGTGCACATGCAGTTTATTTCGCAAATGATGTGGTGATAGAGGAGGAAAGAGTGCTGCCTGGTACTCTAAAGTTAAAACCAGTGACATTCGAGTACCAGAAGATGAAAAATATCAAAGTGAAGCAGGCGGAAATGCTTCGTCAAGCATTCACTGATGATTATGTTCTTAGTTATGCGAACAATTTCGAAGTAATGCGATTGGACTTTTTTCGACGCTCGGACGTTCGTCAATGGATCGAAATGATTGATCAAACTCATGGTATTTTTAAGTATCGATGGGGTGATGCCGTTATACGATATCTAACCATTGCATTATTTGCAGAAGAACGCGAAGTGCTGCATCGCTCCCAATATAACCTTTCGTATTGTCACAGAAAATGTGGTTTACCGACGTCATTAAAAGTGAAACTGAAGCAATACGTGCAATAGACGTGGATGTTTAGTTCGATTGACCTTCTCTGTCTGCGGTGGAAAAGAATAGAAGCATAATTTTTTATATTTTCTTGAACTTTTCATGCCATTAACGTTCAAAAACTACGTTTCTCATCGGTTGTGTTTTTCTAACATACATTATCTACTTGTTATCAAAGTATGTCATACTGAAGAATCCATCGATCATTGAAAACATGCTCATCTAATGGCGTATGTCAATATTTAATTAATATAAACGCACATTTGTGAAAACAGTATACAGATCTTGTAAGTCAACTGATGAGACGGCAAATAAGAGAAACATTTGAGTCAACTTCCTCGGAATCTGATGAAAACTGTTTTTTGATTAGTTTTTATGAATCATCTTAACTAAATAACGTGCACTTTTTCATGCGTGTTTCGCATAAACTGAAAAGCACTATCTTTTCTCATGTAAGTTCTAAGCATTCGTGCATATCACGTTAGTACTGCTATCATTTTCAAATGAGAAAAAAAACACTATAGAATGTCAACATTACACAGATGTAGTTACTATGCTCTCGCATGTGTTGAAAAATACTGATACCGTTTGCGACTTCGAGTTCATTATAATAACATTGATCTGGCTGTCATTATTTAGATAACCTACTGCAATCGCATTAAGTATGATTCCTGTTGAGTACTTTGTTTTGAATGAAAAAATTGTGACCTCCGTAATTCATCCATACTCTCATCGTATTGTCACTTCTATTGATTACTACTAAATCTAATTTGATGTCTTTACCTAAATCAACTGCAGTGATAGCACTAGGATATCGACCGACAGTCCTGTTCAGCTGTACAGAGAATGCTTCATTGTCATCTCTAAACATCACACTCAATACATTACGACCACTGCTTGTAATTGTCAGATCAATCCGACCGTCCTTCTCGAAATCAGCTACCACAACTGCAGTCACCGATCGACTCGATGTAAATATTGTCCACTTATAGAAAGCGCCGTTTCCATAACCTGCATAGATGCTGAGCGAGTTGTTTTTCTGATTGACAAACAGAAGTTCAGCTTTGTTATCGCTGTTCAAGTCAGTTGTAATGAAAGACACTGGCTGTGTATCAAGTGCAATACTGACTTCATCGCGAAGAGTGCCATTTTCGTTAACTAGAAGCAACGAGACATTAGAAGACGAATGGTAAGTCACTGCGAAGTCGATTTTTGCATCCACGTTGAAGTCAGCTGTTCCCTTTCTGATTGGCCACTGCGATGCCCTTCTTTCCATCGCTGTTGAGATCTACATAGACAAGAAATGCTGGTAGTTCACAAGTAGTGTACTGATCTGTTTCTGTGAAATCACCAGTGCCATTGCCAAGCAGAACACTGACAGTGTTTGCATAACTGATGGTAACGATGAGGTCTAGGTGATTGTCAGCATCCAAGTCAATCCCTACGATACATGTTGGATAGCTGCCAACATATAAAGATGTGCCAGACCGGAAGGAGCCGTCATCGATCCCCAATACAATGCTTGCTGCTCCATCGGTTTGAGAAGTAACGGCGAGATCTAATATTTTATCATTATTAAAGTCATCTGCGATGATTATTGATGGTGTGTAGTCAACCGTATGAGTTGCTCGGTACTGAAAGGTGCCGTTTTTAGAATCAGTGAAGACTGAAACGAGATTATCATTATAGCATTACTCATTGCCAATTCTAGTATTGTGTCATTATTAAACTTAACTACAATTACTGATGATGCGACTAAACTAACATTTAGTGTGTTCGCATTTAGAAACTGACCATCACCCTTTCAAAATAATATTCGTGCTGCAGTGTCGTACTGATTGATCAGTGATCACAATCAAGTTCAGAATCTTGTCGCTGTTGAAGTCAGCCATTTTGATAAAGATAGGTGAATTACCATCATTATAATCATCGAGAGCATGAAATCCGCCTTGTCCACATCGTTGAGTAGAATACGAACGCTGTTTACATCTCTATTTACGACGGCCAAATCAACAGATGTGTCATGGTTAAAATCACCTGAGAACGTCATATTCATCATTGAGTAACAGACCGACGCTATTAGCTGCAGCATAAGAAACAGCTGCATCGAATCGCTATAAAAGAGGAATAGCAGGTTAGAACTTGCTGCCTGACACACTTTTCATTGTCTGTCAGCAAGTGAAATACTTAACACTTACGACGTTAAACGCCAATCTTTCGATCTTTTCCATTCAGTTTCTCATTTCACTGTTCCTTACATTACTTTTTTCGGAAGGATTCTAGTCGCGGATCGAGTTATCGACTGACATCGTTTACTGATACACATCTTCTCTCCATGTCAATTTATGTAGAAAGACTAGTAAATAAGCTATGTCTTCGCTCGTCCTTTTCTATTTCAGATTCGATCTGGTACTCAGAAGGCTCATTTCACTTGGCGCGCACCCGTTAGAATGAGAGATTGTGCAGAATATCAGTCAGCGGTTCCCAGGCATCGACAAGCGACAGTAGAAGCTGTTGTGTATCACTACTTTCAATTAATTCATCTTCTTTTTCTTTCCCAAGCAATACGTGTGACACAGTATCATTAATGGATCGATACATTTAAATACCTTTCACTTAGTACTTTCGTACGAAAATCAACTTTTATTGAATTCCATCATTAAACAGATTAAGAAAAACACTAGCCCAGTAAATATTAGTTTGTCAGAGAATGAATTAGAAATAGGTCACTTCGTCATGATCGTCGCCAACGTAACACTCGTTGTTCTGATGAACCTCATCGGTCGTTTCTGGAGATGCCTTTAGTTTCCGACAACAAAAACAACAGCATTGTTTTCCAAATAAGTGTTCATCATACCAGCCAAGCGTTCGGAGAGGCCGTGGCAACCATGACCAACTTCTCAAGCCACTTGGCAACCACGTTGGGCGATAAGTTTGAAGAACATTAATGATGACAACAATGATAATGAGCAGCACAATAGGACCAAGTACACCACCAAACACGTACGTATGCAAGATA